CACCTATAGAAGCTGCAGCAGGCACAGAAGACTAACACAAAGCCTACTTTCCAACCTACCACCAAATTCCAGTAAAAATGAAAATGTGCATAGCATATGGCTCAGCAATTCCAGGCTTTTTATCCAGAGTGTTTTCTAGGAGACATGTTTACATATGAATATCCACAGTAGCACTGCAAATAATGATTTAAAAAAAAAAAAAAAACAGAAAACAAGAAACCTAAAACTTACAATAACTCATATGTCTATTACAACAGAATCGTTAGATAAATAGGTATAATCACAAAGGAAAAGAATTCATTGTTTTCGGTAATAATGTGTATGCCTACAATCCTAGCAATTTAGGAGGCTGAGGCAGAAGGATCACCAAGTTCAAGGCCAGCCTTAGCAACTTAAGGAGACTCTAAAATACTTAGAGAGAACCTATCTCAGAATGAAAAATATAAAATAAAAAAGGACTAGAGATAGAGTTCAGTGGTAAAGAACCCCTGAATTCAATCCCCAGTACTGAAAAATAAAAAGAATTGCAGCTACATGCATTGACAAAGATAGATTTCAAGAATACTTCTATTTGTAAAAAAAAAAAAAAAAAAAAAGTAATTTGCTTTAAAGGTATAAAAATGACTATAAAACTTGCATTCTTACACATATGTGATATGTGTACCAGGGATCTATAAGTACAAAATTTCAGATAATGATTATCTCTGATCAGAGGGAAAGGAATGGGAGAAAAACACAATAAAGGTCTCAAAAATACCTGTAATCAATTTTTAAGTATTACTCTTTCTAGTCATCAGTTCATTCAAAGTCCTAACCAAAATACATCACTTTTCATTAAAAATCTCCCGGTAGTCTTAAGATATAAACTATCCTAAAATAGCTCTACTGTATTTGCTTTAATCCCCCATATAAAATTAGGTAGATAGCCAGGTATAGTGGTACATATCTATAATCCTAGTGACTTGCATGGCTGAGACAGGAGGATCAAAATTTCGAGGCCAGCCTCAGCAACTTAGTGAGACCCTGTCTCAAAATAAAAAATAAAAAGGATTTGGGAATGTAGTTTTGTGTTTTGAGTACCCCTGGGTTCAACAGCCAGTATCAAAAAATTAAAATTAAGTAGCTAAAAACTATTGATTCTACCTTTCTAATATTTCTGAAATATATCCTCTTCATTTTTACTGATTCAACCCTAAGAAGTTCAGCACCTCAAAATCTCTGATGAACTAGTAAGATAATCTCCAAACTTGTCTCTATCTCCACAATCTACCCTCTTCAACATCTTCAAAGTCTACATCTTCAAAGTAAACCAAGTTATCTTTCTGAAATGTATAAGTCAGATGTAATTATTATTCCCCCTTCACATTATAAATTTTCCTACAGCTTGTGGATAAATACACTGTTCAAAGGCCTTCGAGTCTGACACAGACCATCTTATCTCAACTTTCTCTATATCCATGCGCTACTCTACCTTGAATGATATACTTCTTCCATCACTTGGACTGTTTGCCCAATCTCAAACAGACTTCCCACCCATATTGTGTTTGCATGTACCAATCATAACTATACTTTAAAATTTTACTTCAATCGTTACTTTCTTTATGCTGCTTTTCTGATGTAAAAGCCACAGAATTCTAGTAAAACTCTCAGTTTACAAATTTAATAGCATAAATAAACCTCCCTTGCAATGTTTATTATCTTACGATGTTCATAACCTTCCACATGGTAACAATTAGATTCTTTCTCCTCGTTCACTAGAACTTCCTTTAAAACAGAAATCCTCTTTAATACTTGGCTCAATAGTTTATATTAGGAGTCACCAAAGGATTATATAGAATAAATAAACTGTTTCTGGATATTCATTTAGTTTGAATAGCTATGCTGAAACTAATTTATTCCAAATACAATTCAAAATAAGAAAAACACTAGGCCTAAAACAAAGCTTAGAGAGAATATTATCATGAATTTAGGTTTGCATAAAACATTTGATGAGGGGCTGGAGTTGTGGCTCAGTGGTAAAAGTACTCATCTTGCACGTATGAGGCACTGGGTTCAATCCTCAGCACCACATAAAAAATAAATAAATAAAATAAAGGTATTGTGTCCATCTACAACTAAAATATATTTTTTTTAAATTGATGAGTTTATACTAAGAAAAGTAGTATGAAAACTTGTCTCCAGTCTAATGATTTTATGGGTTTTTTAAAAAGGAGTTTTCATTAATTTATTTAACTGATATGAAAATTAGAATTCTGAAATTTCAGTGCCTTTTACCATGGCGTGAAAAGATTTACATTTCTAGGTAATAATGGCTACCAAAGTACATGAATAGTATATGGTAAAGGAATTTTCTGATACTCAACCACATTGTTTCACTATAAATACTTACACTATATACTATAAATACAAGAAGTTCATCAATGATGATTTCCCTTGAGAAAGAGCAAAGCTGATTTAAAAATAAGTTTAAAACAGGAAAATGCCTCATAAAACATTAACTACTGCTAATAAAAAAAAGTTGTGAACACAAATCTCTATGACCATCAAGAAAGAAGTCTTTTCATTTCTTATTCATGCATTTTACCAATGGTATAAGCAATTAAAGGCCATTAGATTGGACTTGAAGSAATCGGGGGTTTTCCCCTCATTTTTTTAATGAGTACATCACAGTTGTACATAATAATGGAATCTGTTGTTACATATTCACAGATACATACAATAATATAATATAATTTGGGGCTAGAGTTGTAGCTTAGTGGTAGAATTCTTGCCTGGCATGTGTGAGGCCCTGGGTTCATTTTAAAAAATAAATAAATAATATAATTTGGCCAATACTATTCCCCAGTATTTCCCCTTTCCATTTTTTCCTCCTTCCCTCTGATCCCTTTCCTCTATTTTACTGTTCTCCCTTTTATTTCATGAGATCCTCCCCACCTTTTTTGTTTTCCTTTTTTAAAAAAAATAGCTTCCACATGAGAGAAAACATATGAACTACTGAGTTTGACTTATTTCATTAACATGATGTTCTCAAATTCCAAACATTTTCCTGTGAATGACATAATCTCATTTTTCTTTATGGATGAATTGTGTGTATATATACACCACATTTTCTTTATACATCCATCTGCTGACAAATACCTAAGCCGGTTCTAGTTTGGCTATTGTGAATTGTGCTGCTATAAGTATGGATATGCACGTATCATAGTTATGCATGTATGCTGAGTTTAATGCCTTAGGATAAATATCGAGGGGTGGTATAGTTGGGTCCATTCATAATCTCTTGAGGAAACTCCATACTGATTTCCATAGTGGTTGTACTAATTTATAATCCCACCAACAGTGTACAAGTTTTCCTTAAGGAGTCATTTTAAGAATTCAAACAAATTCTGTTCAAAACTGAACTCACATCAAAAACTCCCTATTATTGTCTATTCAAAGATAAGTCTGGTGGCCTCAACTTTATTTTCCTGACAGTACGTAAAATTATCTCCTTCACTACCTAAAACAAATGTATTCCTTTTCTTTCTTTTTCTTTTCCTTTTTTTTTTTTTTTTTTGGTACCAGTGATAGAACCCAGGGGCACTTAACCACTGAACCACATCCCCAGCCCTTTTCATTTTTTATTTTGAGACTGGGTCACACTAAGTTGTTTAGGATTTACTAAGTTGCTGAGACTGATATTGAATTTTCGATCCTACTGCTCCAGACTCCCAAGTCACTGGGATTACAGGCATATGCCACCATGTTCCACTATTATTCCTTTTCTTTACAGGTGCCTAAATAATGTTCTATTATTGTATCTTTCAGAGCACTGAATGTCAATTTACTCCTTAATATCTTCTTCAATCTTACCCTATAAAGATTCAATAAAATTGTTTTTCTTTAGAAATAACTTCGTAGTACATTTCAATAYTGGTCAGCAGGGCTGAGGATATAGCTCAGTGGTAGAGCTCTTATCTACCATGTGCAAGGGCCTGAGTTCAGTTCCCAGTGCCAGGAAAAAAAAAAATGTATACACACACACACATATATACATACATACATATGTGTGTGTGTGTGTATATATATATTCTTTATATAAGAATAACCACTGCATATTTCATGGGTCACATGAAATGATTACTAAAAAATTACTGATATCAATATTGTTATGCTTCATTACTACTGCTTAGACAATCTTTTTCTCATATATACTGTATTAAATACAGCAATGATTTATTACACACTTTCAAAAAAATTTTGTACCATTTCCAAATATAAATGCAGTACTTTGACAATGTCAAAGTTGTCAGAATCACAATGGAGTCCCTTGTATCAATTCTAACCAAAGGAAACTAAATAAATCCAGGAAGTTATGAAGGAAGGGTCCTTAGACATAATTGCATGATAGTAAAAACACAAAAGACTTCCGAAAACAAAAATTTCCAAGAAGTCACCACAATCTTATACAAAAAGTACTTTCACAAAGGACATCTGACCAGAAATTGTTTGTTCAACCTTGAACTGACATTACTCTCATTAACCATCAGGAACAAGCATTATTATTTCAAAATATTGCATGTAATCCTTTACATTTTTTGTCTTTAAAAACTTTCCCTTGCTTCAACCTCTCTGAATACTATGACCTGCATATTCCCAACAAAATATCATTATTCTTTGGAGAATCTGTCTTGGTTGCTTTAGTTGACAACCCAAATCTACATAGTTCTGAATCAAACATTGTCCTAAGACCACCAACTAAGACTCAGGGTCTTTCTCTCCTTAAAGTGATTACTAAAAATGGTGCTATTTCTGGATGAGTAATGCCATTCCTTAATAGCAGTTTTCATCACACATTTTCATTTTTAATATCTGTATTCAAATTATATGCATACATTCTTTTTATAAGAAACAGTATTTTTAACAAAAACAAAACACAAAAATATCCAAATAAGAACATAGTTTTCTAGATTATGTATTAGGAACGCTGGCAATCATTTTACAACCAAACCCATACTTACTTGAATAATTGTTGCCAAAATATTTACATAATTACTTTCAGTCTGATAGAGCTCTTTCGCAACTTGCCACCTGGCTGACTGCTTTGAAGGAATGGGAGTGGAATTTTTAGAAGATGTATTACAAGACTTCGGTGTTTCTGAAAGGTACGAAAGAAAGATTTAATGGAAGCCAGCTCTAAGTACCAAATATTTTACAGATTTAACAAAATGGGGGGGGGCTGCTTAATATACCACCACCATATATATTTTCATTAAAGTAAAATTTCATTATAAGGCCAGAAAAATATAATGGTCAAAAACATCACTCATTCCAACTTGACACACATTCTACTAATAAATGGTACATATGCTCCCAAAAATATAAAGGTCATTAAATACAAAGAACAACAAGAACCTGTTCTAGAGGAGGATAAAGACAACCAACTATAATACTGCATTAGACCTTAGACCAACAAAATGAACTTTTCGGTTTTGCTTTGCTTAAAAGGACAGTTATTAGTGGGTCAGGATGTGGGGGCTATCTAGATGAGAAATCTGTCACTCCAGTGATTACAATGTTGATTTGGTGATCTGGCTGGCTACCGGATGTTCCTTTCCTCCTTCACTGCTCCACAGGCATCTTTCAGGAAGCTGCATACTCAATCAAAGAGGACAACCTTCCCCACTAGAGGAGGAGTGATCTTCAGTCAAAGGTATACAATTAGCTGTGCTCTCCTGCTAGAACCTCCAAACAAAGCTCTAAAGATATTAGTGGGAAAACTAGAGAAATTTCAGTCTATAGTTCATGGCATCAATGCCAATTTCCTCATTATATAAGTATAATGTGGTTATTTAAGAAATAATCTCATATTTTGGGAAACAAACATATAGAGAGTTAAAAGCACATTATATCTAAAACTTACTCTCAAACAGTACAGATATTAAAAAAAAGTGTGTGTGTACAGGCACGTGTGCACACGTGTATGTATGTAGAAACATTTTTACTAAATGAAGGTTAAAGCAACATGGCAAAAAAAAATCCATTTGAAAATTCTATTTAGAAGGAATAGGAATCTTTGTAAAGCTAAAATAATAAAATAAAATGGGGGCTGGAGTGGTGRCTTAGTGGTGGAGCACTTGCCTAGCATATGTGAGACACAGGAATCGATCCTCAGCACCACACAAAAATAAGCAAATAAAATAAAGGCATTCTGTCCACCCACAACTACAAAAAAAAAAAAAATTTAATAAATAAATAAATAAAAATAAAATATAAAGTAACATATAAAAATGCTATGGTTAAAAAAGGAGGCATGCCAGGCACAGTAGCATAGGCCTGTAATTCCTGCTACTAGGGAAACTGAAGGTAGGAGGATCACAAGTTTGATGTCAGTCCCAGTGACTTAGTAAAAATCTGTCTCAAAATAAAAAACAAAAAGGACTAGGGAT